GCGACAACAGGCACAGGGGACCATGTTTCAGCAAGACAACGCTACACCCCATACAGCCAGATTGAACAGAGACTTCCTTGCTCAGAATAACGTGCACGTTTTGCCATGGCCGTCACGCTCCCCGAATTTTTCACCCATTGAACATCTTTGGGATCACCTTGGACGACAGTTGAGACGTCGAAAGCAACAGCCACAGACAAGACGGCAAGTGGAACAGGCACTTCATGAGGAGTGAAGACAGATTCCCACTAACATCATCCGACGCCTTACGTTCTCTGTGAGACGTCGTGTTATGGCCTGTATCAACGCCAATGGAGTTGTGTTAAGTTTCTTTTGTTTCTTTCTTATGCTAAAATTGAAACACCCTACATCAGCTGTGTTGGGCGATTGTGTTGAGTATTTTCTAGATCCTTAGAAAGATGATAATATTATGGGGCCTTATGCGATGAATTCTCAGATAACTGTGTTCAAATATACTGTACGTGATGTTGCCATGGATGATATTACTGTTCTGTCTAAGAAGCCATCATAGTTGCTTGAACTTCCATCAGTTTATCTTCATATACCGGAACATGTAATTAAATCTGATCTAGCACCACGTGTTAAAGCCATAGCGAAGGAACATATCCGAATTTTACAGTGGATAAATGCAAAGATCTTTTAGGTCTTGAATTTTCATGGATACCCATTCATGTTGAACGACTTGGCAATGAGAAAGATGATAACTTGCCATAAGCTCCATTAGATTTGGTGAATCAGAACAGGATGAGGCAATATTGCCCTCTTCTGCAGAATTATGCACCGTCAGTCAGATCCATGCTCAAACGAAATGGCAACAAAAATGGACCTCGTCCTTAAAAGGACGCCATCTCTATGGCATAGAGCCCCTTGTGCCCTTTGTGACCAAATAAAAAATTTCTCGAAACAATCGTAGGTAAGAGGTTCTTTTAACCAGACTTCATCTTGGGCATTGTGGTCTTGGTGCTTGTCTTAATATTAATAATATATTATTTATATATATTTCTGCAAATTGCACAGTGTGTAATCAGCTATATAATAAGACTCATTATTTACTGCATTGCCAAAAATATGTAAACCAATGGTGGAATCTCTTACAGCTCTCAACATTGACATCTCATTGGCTATTATGCTCAAGGACTATTGATCACCATGAAGTTCGGAATGCCATTCTTGATTATATTAAAGGGTGTGGCAGCTTTACTACCTTATGAAAGTTTAGAAAATTAGCAAACCTTTTTGATGGGCAAGGTGTAAATGGGCCTAGTTGCCCGGACATCTATTAAACTTTTAATTTAATCAATCATCATTCAATCACAATGATGACGTTTTGTAAAGAAATAGTATTGTTTTTGCCGCAGCTACATGAATCCAATATTCTCAAAATCACCTGTACATTTCATTTTTAAAGAGTGTAGTACTTATGTTAGGTTGGTTCTAATATTGCTTGTTGAATAAGCGTGAACGACCATGAAAAGCTTCCAAATAGAGAGCCCAAGTCTGTATCATTAATTTGAACATCTGTATGGATTTAATTTTTTTTTTCTTAAGCCGCGTTTTGCCGGTGATATCACATTTGTCAGGCTGACAGAGGGTGAAGGCTCAACCCTACAGTAATAATAGATCAGTCCGATCAAAGTCTGGTGGTAACCTCCGAAAACCCCTACAGCCAATAACCCTTACAGCTAAAAACAACAAGGTCTAGTGCACTGCTAATCTCCTGTCTGTTACCTGTTTCATACAATGAACCAGCCCAAACACTTAGAAATTAAGTGAATGGTTTTAATGAGTGGTATAGGTTATGGGCTGGTGTTTTTTTTGGAGACAACCTATCTGGTCACCACTCCCATAATTAGATGATCCCATGTTCTTTAGAATCAAGTAACTAGCATAATACAGTGTTTGCTTTGAATAATAAGGACATAATCCTTTTAAATGACCTACTCGAATATAAACCTATTTGTACTGAGTGTGTATGATTTACCCTTTCTATTGAGTAAACCATACGTCTGTATAATTGCTCCTCTTTTAAAAGATTCTTGTCAATGACTTCTCACCTGACATTGCGGATGTTTGAACTAAGCAATGTATATGTATGAATGTTTCACAATGGTAGGAAATTTATGGCAGGTTTGCAGAAAGTAGATTATGTCACATCACAGAGAGGAACAACACAGGTGCTTTTTCAGATTTTGTCATAGACTCCAGTGAACATAATCAACTGCCACCAGACGAAACACGACTCGGTTTCATCAGCTCCTTTCGTAAACGAGCGCGAGAGGAACCTCCAATGCCTGTGCCATCACTCCACCAGAGGAGGGGAGTGGAGCTGGGTTTTTCAGGGCATTATCATTTGCGGAAGCCCTAGGTCTTCAGTTAACTGGCCGACGAAGGATAATGCTCTGAAAAACAGGGTTACCCCTTTTATTGCTAAAATGGATGGAATTTGTATTAAAAAAAGACAAAACAGTGTCGTAAATGTAATTGTAAGTTTACTTGAAACAACTCGCAACGGGCTGTTCACCCAACAGTGTCAGGTCATGGAACAAACTTATGACGTCAATATTGGCAACAGCCGCCCTCACTCGCACCCGCTATGGCGTCATTTGACAACAGAAGTGATAATGGCTGGGGTGACTGACAAAGTGGGGGGACAACGTTTTACCGACGTGTCATTTATATTATTTGAAACAAACAATGTCGGTTTACACAACGATTCATTAAAGGGGATATATTAAATGTAAACTTCTTAACATATGTTAGATGGATAAACAAAGCATACTTAATTACACTCAAGAAAAATGCAATTGTTTACTGTGCATTCATCTACATAACAATGGAGTTATTTTTTAGTTATTCTCGGTGTGTGGTAGACACGAGATAGTATATTATATCAGCTAAATACCAGCCACGAAGATTTATCAGTGAAGAACATGTTACAACAAATGTTTATACGGCAGTAATAACTGAACCAATCATCACTAGACACACTTGGCAACATACAATAATTCATACATAACATCTTTTTGTATAGAAAACAAAGTTAGTCTTCGTTCTAGGCTAATTGTTTTGCGTTAAGACATCACAAGTGTAGTAGTATGTAATTATGTATATACATGTATACGCAAGTGTATATTTATTTGTATTTTAATCACTAAGTCTAGCCCAAGCTTAACCACTCAATCTTACTTGCTTCATTTTCACAATAGCACGGTCACCCTTGCGGTTACGTTGTCTATTGTCTGTATTGTCTTGTCCTAGCCCCAGGCCCCTTATATTCAATAGCAGGGTGTTTTGTGGGTCAGCTTCCATTTTCACTTCAGTCTGTCTGGTCACTGGTCATAGCTCACAACAGCTTATAACAGGTTAGTTTATATTTGGATTGTGTATTTTATGTCTTCATGTTTAGTGTGTATGTATTATTTCTTAGCTTCCTTTAAAGCATGTATCATGTTATGTGTGGTAAATATAAACCAAATTAACTATATGTAATATGTAGCATAACTAGGTCTTAGCAATACTTTACATATGTAACTTGATTGCTGGTAATCCTAAATAACATTTCCCACAAGGATGTTACCTAACTTATAAATTATTGTGTAGGTAAACATAATGTGTACATCTACTTTTTATAAACTAATGCATCTAACTTTGCATGTATGAATGGATGTATGTATGATGAGATAAGTTATTGGAACAGATATGTTATGTTTAGTAGAGTGATAATATACAGATGTAGAACGTTACATAGTATTGATTTTATATATGTTTATGTTCATGTGTGGCAAACATATTTCCTGACGTTTGTGACGTCAAAGGGGCACAGTGCCATACACTCGGTGAGGGTTCTTTCGTATTATAGTGTAAATAATTATGTTATGTACTTAACATTATATACATATATACAACCATGTCTACTCTGTGACCTGATTTATCAGTAATGATTGTATTGATTATATATGATTGTAGTACTTATTGCTAAGCCTCACAAGCATTGGCCCATGAAGTATTGTAGCGTATTCTGATGCAATGTATTTATTTTTTACAGGGCCTTCTTCAGTTATTATTGCCATTAAAATGACATCTAGAGAAACTATTTGCCTTTGTGTAGAGAAACTATTTGCCTTTGTGGTATATACCAAATCACTCCGGTTACATTGGCGTCGTCGGCAGGATGTAGATGTTGAGAAGTAACAGTGAAGCAACCAGTGACAAGGGACAATGATGGACATCAACTTTCCATAGATGGAAGGGAACCGTAATGACCAAGTAATGTAACACTACGGTACACAACCAGACAGTCTGTTACGCATGAGTTTTGGCCTTTAGCTTACTACTCGGCGTATAGATATTTGAGACTCTTGTATTGTGCAAGTGATATTGACTCTGATTGAAGCACATTCCACATTCTGTATATCCCATTGTGTGTTTTGTGAATGATATATGAAGAGAAGAGGATAACTCTGCTGTGAACAAGCTAACCAAAATTTATTTTGGATTATGTTCTTGTATGTAATGCAATAATTCAGATTTGCCTGTGATGTATTTGCTTTCTGGTCTGTTTGCATAGTGCACTTCGTTTATAGTGTTGATCATACCGGCCGGTCATTAGTCACATTATGTTAGTTTTGTCAGTATATAGCCATTAGTTAGATTATTTATTAGTCTTGTCAGTTGATAGTGATAAATTAGGCACAGGCGGATCAGCCAATTAACGTGTCAGAACTTTGCTGAACAGACGCGTCCTCAGGCACTCTATCTCCGCTGTGTGTTCCGCTGATGTTTCTATATTTGTCAGCAAGTTAACTATGCTCGTGGTTTGCACTGAGTAGTAAAAGTCTGAGACCTGCATCACTTAGGGTTTCCCTCATACATCAAGCTGACATGCCGTGATATAACTGAAATAGTGTTCACACCGGCAGTACACCCAGCTCACCCAGTCATTACTGGTTAAATTAGCTTGTGAATTAGTCATTTTGAGATTAGTTATTTTGTTATATTGTAAGTATTCTATTAGTACGTTTTATTTAGTTGATATTCAACATCTGTTTGTCGGAATAATACATATGTCTGTGTGTGAAAGATGTATGCCTGATTAAAAAAAAAGCACCTACTTATCACTCAAATACCTTGAATAAACAATTAAAATATAATGTAGTTCCACAATAAAGCACTTACATCAGATTATATTCAACCCATAAAAAGGTAAGTATTATTTGTGTTTGCTGGTCATATAATTCAGTTGGTCATACAGTGTGTGTGTTTTTTTGTCTCTTCAGGGTTTAGTTCTTGGTCTCTCATCTTGGATATATTGTCCTTTTCGTCCTTTTGTGTGTGTGTTTATCTGCAGCGGTCGCAAAGCTTACACCTGCACATCATGACTAACCATTGCACACGTATTGTATACTAAGTACTTTGTTGAAAGTTATGTTTTAATTCTGGGTAGGGCATCACTATGCACATTTCGCTGCGCTGCGGTGATCCACTGCATTCACATTTCTTCTGTGCTAACTGTGCCATACTTCCTTGCTCGCTGTTAGTACGACTAGCAGACATTTTGGAACATATGTCAGAAGAGGAAGTTGCTCAGCTTGTGGCAACATTCAAGCAGCTTAAAGTAAAACCTAAGGCTGATTCCCCAGAAAGTTTGCTAAAATGGATGACTGATTATTCATCCGGCTCTGTGAAAACAGAAGGTGTTTCACATGCCTCTGAAACTCAGTATCCTGGTAACCCATCATCAGCTCAGGTGGTTACTGTATCTCACCCTCCAAGTCTACCTTGCTTTTCCGGAGATGAAACTAAAAGTAACGTGTCTTATGATCTGTGGAGATATGAAGTGGATTACATATTGAAGGATAAAGCACATACAAGGACGACAATCAAACATTCGATTAGGAAGTCTTTGAGAGGGAAGGCAGCTAGGGTTGCCATGCGACTAGGTTCCGCCGCTTCTCTTTCTGCCCTCTTGGATAAACTGAAGTGTGTTTTTGACACAAGTGATAGTCCTGTGAACGTAATGGCGGCTTTCTACACAGCACGACAGAGGGAAGATGAAGATGTTAACACTAGGTGTTGTCGTCTAGAAGATCTATTGATTAAAGCGGTAGAAGCTAGCTCTCTAGACACCAAAAAGCTCCTCCATTATATGCTTTGGACAGGACTTAAGCCATCAATCAAGGATGTCAGCGGACACAACTTTGATCTATTCTCGGATTTTGATGTTTTGCGACGAGAACTTCGACAGACTGAGCGGGAGCACACTCAATGTAGAGGGGATGGTAGAACTAAACGGAAACTGACTGCCACAACTATGTCTGCTGTTTCTGAAACACCCACTTAAACAGAGGTGAAGGAACTTCAAGGAATGATCAAGAGCCTTACTTCTGAGGTCGCATCTCTGAAGAAACAACAGCAGCAGCCTCCTCTGTATCACTATCAACAGCCTACCGGAGAACAAGATAACGTTCAATCAAGGACTTATAATCAAACTGACAAGGGCATCATTGGATATTATTCTAAACTGTTACGTGTCTTACAGACACCTACTACAATACATGTAGTATTAGTTGTCAAAATATCACTGACGATAAAGTTAACTTGACTTCGTTTAATGGCGGACATACAGTACACAACAACTGGTGACGTCACACTCTAAGAGTAGGGGAGGTGACTCCCAGCTGGTTACACAAGTTGTATACCACGTAACATCCCCCTTTCTTTAAAGGAAAGAATAGAAGTGTCATTACTTTGGCTGGATGAGAATTAGAGTTCATTTGGCTGAAGACCAATATGTGTCACATAGGGGATTTATCATTAAATGTAAGATGAAAACTTAAAAAACTATTCAGTGATTTAAAAGTCTAGTCTTAGACGGAATTTACTGCTTGAACATAATTATCATTTATGAGTCTATAAGTCAAGTCTGCGGATGGATTTCACAGCTCTCCCGGATCTGGTGTGGTATGCTGGCGGGTGGTCAGCATCAGAAGGTTGCTGTTTAGGGAGTGTATCTTGATGTGTAGACGTTGTCGACGGAGTTCTCGGAACGTTGTTCTGCTGGGTTGTTACTGCAGGCTGTGGAGGGTCAGAGACTGGCATCTCGGTGTTAGTAGGTTCTGGACGTCGGGACTTCTTCATGAGACGGAGTTGTTGACGGTTGCGTCGGTAGTTGTACCCATCATTTGTCTGCACCGTGTAAGTTCTACTTTTCAGCTTCCCCGTGTCTGTAGCTTCAGGCCATTCTGTCTTCCCACTTTGTATGGGCTGCATGTGGACTGTATCACCTGTTGACAGTGGTTTGAGGGTTTTGCCTGGATTAGACGTATCGTGTTTATCAAGGATGCACATTCTTCTGTCCTCAAGATCTTCTTTTTCATGGTTGAACTTTGATGGTCGTAATGGTTCGAGGGTACTGGGTACTTGTGTTCTAGTGCTGCGTCCCATCAAACGTTGTGCTGGGCTCGTTTGAAGACCTTCGGTTGGGGTGTTTCGGATGTTGAGAAGACCTAGGTATGGATCTTCATTTGCTGCATTGCATTTCTTCATCATTCTTTTGGCTATCTTAATGGCTGCCCCTGCTGATACCATCTTGTATTGTGAGCTCATCGCGATAGCTGAAGTAGGTTCGGAGTTCCGGTTTCAGTTGCTGTCTGTCATTGGGTAATCCATGCATTATCGTTGCTTTCAGATGTTGTAGGGTGTCATCCTTTGCTGTTGCAGCTTTAATCTCTTTCAAGCGATCATCAGATACTGACAAGTGGGCAATGTTGTTTACAAACACAGTTTCAAGTGTGGGCTTATCAGCTAGTGGTGCTCTTGACAGGGTATCAGCAACAGGTATTGTCTTGCCAGGCCTGTAGGTAAGGCTATAGTTGTACTTTTGTGTTCTCAGTGGGAGAGACTGAAGTCTGTTGGGCGCTTTCGAGAGAGGTTTCTTCACAATCGCGACTAGTGGTTTATGATCAGTGACAACATTCACTGAGTGGCCGAAGGTATAGTGGTGAAACTTCTCGAGTCCGAAGGTTACAGCCAGCATTTCCTTTTCAATTTGAGCATATCTGCTTGAGGGATCTGCTTGCAAAAGTGACTAGCTTTCCTTCTTGAAGCAGGACAATATTCGCTTGCATCGTTTTCCAGGGTTAGCTCTTTCTTAGGATCGTAGAATGAGAGTACTGGGGCTGTAGTGATCATATCTTTCACTGTGTCAAAGGCAGACTGTTGAGCTGATGACCAGTTCCATGGTAGATCTTTCTTGACAAGGTTGCGCATTGGTGCAGTGACGTCTGTCAAATTGGGAAGGAATTTGACCATGTAGTTGACCAATCCAAGATAGCATCTAAGTTCTTCAACGTTTGTTTCCTACACACTGATAACATACAGAATCGTGAGATAGTTTTCAAGGATGACTGACAGCACTCCTAAGTCATAAACACCTGTAGAACTTCTAGAAGGTCACTTTTCGACTGTCGGATAGTAGCACGTGGTCGCGAGTGCACGGCGTGTGAACTCGTTGACAAACTTGTACAAAGTTTATGTTCAACTGATACACAGCTTACGTGACACAGAGAGTGAGTTCAGAACACGCTGCCACCATGTTACGTGTCTTACAGACACCTACTACAATACGTGTAGTATTAGTTGTCAAAATATCACTGACAATAAAGTTTACTTGACTTCTTTCCAGAGACATCAGTATGATCATCCATCATACAGAGGAAGATCTAGAGGACAACCTTTTGAGAGAGATGTGCAGTGTTTTCGTTGTGGACAGTTTGGGCATATAGCCTTAGGATGTAGAGTCAGAATGGATCACAGTCGCCAGCATTTAAACTGGAGACGGCCTATGCGAAGGGGTTGTGCATAGGTCTCAACAGACGACAGATGGGTACTCTGAGATATGAAACAACAGCACTTGTAGGAAATGCCAATGAAGTTCATGTCTGTATTCAAGGAATCAAGACAAGGGCTATATTGGACACAGGAGCTACAGTCTCTACTGTGAGTCAGGCATTTTATGATCAGTATCTCTCAGGTATTCCTATCACCCCCATCACAAATGTCTTGGATATTGAGTGTGCTGATGGACAGCCCCTGCCATACTCTGGTTACATTCAGGTGGACTTAGAGGTTAATGGGATTGATGCTGACCGCCAGCCATGTCTTCTGCTTGTTGTTCCTACAAGCAACTATAATCACAAGGTACTGGTTTTACTTGGGACCAATATGTCATCGGTTTACTTAGGAACCTGTAGACAACAACACGGGGAGAAGTTTTTGCAAGATGCCAACCTTCATACACCTTGGTATTTAGCTTTTAGGTGTATGGTACTGCAGGAACGGTATGTTGTTCGACGAGAATTTAAGCTCGGATTAGTCAAGTGTGCAGGAATGAAGAAGGTTGTCATCCCACCAAATTCAGAAGTCACGATCACTGGCTGCATTGACAAGGCACTTCCTTATCGCAATACATGTGCTATATTGCAAAGTACTAGCCGTTCAGCTATTCCTGAAGACCTTAACATCTCACCCAGCTTGATAATATACAGAGAGAGAGGATTTGTAGATGTCAATATTTCAAACATTACCACAAGAACAGTAGTCATTCAACCCTGTGCCCTCCTGTGTGAGATACAGCCTGTTGTTGTTGAAAAACAGCCTTCTAGGGCAGATGTGTCACAGGACAAGGATTCACTCTTTAATAGGATGGATATCGAAACTTCACAGATCTCAGGCACTCAATGTGAAGAGGGATTAAGGGTTATCTCGGACTACTTGGACATATTCTCTCATGGTGATCTTGACCTTGGACACACTAGTGCAGTGAAACACAAGATAGATCTCATGGATGAATTGCCCTTTAAACAGCGACATAGGAGAATTCCGCCATCTATGCATGCTGAAGTAAGAGATCATCTGCACCGACTATTAGCAAGTGGAGTCATCTGTCGATCACGAGCACCTTGGTCTTCCAATGTGGTATTAGTACGCAAGAGAAATGGGACTCTAAGGATGTGCTTTGATTTTAGTCAGTTAAATCAAAGGACTATTAAGGACTTCTACGCTCTCCCCAGGACTGAGGAGATGTTTGATACACTTAGAGGATCAAATTTCTACTCCACAATGGACATGAAGAGCGGATACCACCATGTTGAATTAGAAGAACATCACAAGGTGAGAACTGCTTTCTCCGTGGGACCTTTGCTTAGTCCAACAGTCCCGCCACGTATCAACGCCTCATGAAATATTGTTTTGAAGATATGCACTTAAAGATATGCCTTATCTACGTGGATGATGTCATTGTCTTTGCTGATACCTTTGAAGAACATCTGGACACACTAAAGAAGGTGCTTAAGAGGCTCAGAGACTGTGGATTCAAGCTCGCTCCAGATAAGTGCAGCTTCTTCAAAGACAAGATCAAGTTCTTAGGACATATTGTATCAGGACAAGGCATTGAACCAGATCTGGCTAAAGTTGAAAAGATAAAGACATGGCCCCAACCAAAGAATCCAGCAGAGGTTAGACAGTGTCTTGGATTTGCAGGGTATTACTGGAGATTTGTGAAGAAATCTGCTGCAGTCACCAAGCCCCTGTCAAGTCTTATGCCTCCACCAACACAGACAAAGAGATCACGGAAGAAAGTTGTCCAACAGCCGTGGATATGGGGATCTGAACAAGAGAAGGCATTCCATCACTTAAAACAGCTTCTGGTTTCGCCTCCTATTCTAGCCTACGCAGACTACAGCCTACCATTTGAGCTCCATACATATGCTAGTACACATGGACTGGGCGCTGTTCTCTATCAAGACCATGATGGATAGAAGCGAGTTATTGCATATGCCAGAAGAGGACTAAACAAAGCTGAGAAGGACTATAAAGCATATCGTCTTGAGTTCCTGGCTTTGAAGTGGGCAATTACTGAAAAGCTCAATGATTACCTCTATGATACCAAGTTCAGAGTTTATACAGATAACAATCCGTTGACCTATAACAGGACAGACCGCCTCCGTGGTGTAGTGGTTAGAGCGTCCGCCTGGAGAGTGGAAGGTCGCGGCTTCGATCCCCGACCGCGTCATACCAAAAGACGTTAAAATATGGTACTTGTTGGTCCATGCCTGGCGCTCGGCATTATTGGGTACAACAAGGACTGGTCGGCTCGGAGTCAGTATACTGTGTCTGAGTGGGGTATTCATGCTTCACTGCGGCATGGTATCTCAGTGAGCTAGCACTATAAAACCAGCATAAGTCTGGGCTAGTACAAGCAGCTACACATACACATTCACACGCATGCACGTCGTCATATGAGCGAAATATTCTCAAGTACGACGTTAAACCCAATTTCACCTCACCTCACCTATAACAGGACATAGATGGTTAGCAGCCTTGGCAGCCTATGATTTTGACATCAAGTACTGGCCTGGAATCAACAATGCGGATGCAGATGGTATGTTACGTCTACCAGAACTGGAGACAAGTGGAGGGCATGAGTATATGCCAGGCGAGTCTGTAAAGGCTGTGTGCAACGTCATTCATACCCAACCTTATGTTGAGAGTTTATGTATGCAGGCTGACATTACTCTGGAAGAGAACCCTTTAGCCAGGATGTCAAAACGGGACTGGAGAAAGGCACAGTACCAGGATCCTATCTTGAAACAATGGACAAGATGTTTACAGTCAGGAAACAGGATTTCTGTGATTCCCCTACTCATTCGGCATTGCTCAAGATCTCCAGGAATCGTCATCTTGAACAGGGAATTATGTATAGAGAAGTGTTAATAATGGACAAACTAGACTGCAGTTAGTTTTACCAGCTGATTACATCAAAGATGCATTAGGAGGCTTTCATGACAATATGGGTCATCCAGGACGAGAACGAACTTTGTCTCTCTTGAGAGACAGATTCTCCTGACCAGTTGATGAATGGATTACAAATTGCAGGAGATGCATCTGCCAGAAGACTCCAACCAACCAGAGAGCTCCACTCACAGGAATTGAAACAACTCAGCCATTAGAATTAGTATCTATGGATTTCTTGGACCTTGAACCATGCAAAGGCAGGAAACACCGTGCGTTAGTTGTCACGGATCACTTCACCAGATATGCACAGGTATATGTCACCAACAACATCACAGCCAAAGCCAAAGCCACAGCTAAAGCTTTCTTTGACAACTTCATTGTGCATTATGGGATTCCACAGCACATACACTCTCACCAAGGTGCCAACTTTGATGGAAATCTTATAAAGGAATTGTGTTTTTTTTAACCGGCATGAAGAAATCGAGAACAACACCATATTATTCCATGGGTAACGGCATGTGCGAGAGGTTTAATCGCACATCATGCGACATGTTAGGCACTTTGTCCCCTGACAAGAAAAGCGATTGGAAATCTCACATTGGGCCTCTTGTACATGCCTATAATTGCACGCGCCATTCTTCAACTGGACAGTCACCGTTCTTCTTAATGTTCGATAGAGAACCACGTCTCCTTCTCGATCTTGCCGTTGGGTTAGAACTTGGCATGACACAGACGTCACTCACTGAGTATACCAGATCACTCAGAAAACGATTGAAGGACTCATATGAACTAGCTTTGGCTTCAGCTAAAACATCTCGTGACAGACAGAAGAAAGGATATGACATAAAGTTAGGGGAGCCACACTGCAGACTGGAGATCACGTGCTAGTAAAGATATTGACATTTGATGGTAACATAAGCTTTCGGACAAGTGGGAGGAGGATCCTTTCATTATTCTCTCCCAGCCTAAAGTACTGTCGGAAATGCTAGAAAAATGCTTTTTAGCCTTAATATCTTTATAAAGGTGATAAATATACTATGTTGTCAATATATCAACTCGCCTATAGTGTACCTAATTTTTATTTCAATCGATTTAACATTCCCATGCATTTAAAGGGCAGTTTACAGGAGAGAATTTGGTACCAAAACAGCAACTTAAGATTTTTTCAGAGTTCAACAACAGAAATCTGAAATAGTCTTTACATT